AAAAACGAGCTGAGTGTGTTGGCACATGCCTGTAGTCCAGCTACTTGGGAGGCTGAGGCAGGACAATCACGAGCCCAAGAGGTTGAGGCTGCAGTGAGCTGTCATCATGCCACTACACTCCAGCCTGGGTGACAGAGTGAGACCCCATCAGAAAGAAAAAGGAAGGAAGGAAGGAAGGGAGGGGGGGAAGGAGGAAGGAAGGGAGGAAGGGAGGGAGAAGGAAGGAAGGAAGGGAGGGAAGGAGGGAGGGAGAAGGAAGAAAGGGAGGGAGGGAGGGAGAACGAAGGAAGGAAGGGAGGGAAAGAGGAAGGAAGGGAGGGAGGGAGAAGGAAGGAAGGCAGGGAAGGAGGAAGGAAGGGAGGGAGGGAGAAGGAAGGAAAGAAGGGAGGGAGGGAGGGAGGGAGAAGGAAGGAAGGGAGGGGGGGAGAAGGAAGGGAGGGAGGGAGAAGGAAAGAAAGAAGGGAGGGAGGGAGGGAGAAGGAAGGAAGGAACAGATGCAATTGTGAGCAGAAAGCTTGAGGACCCTGCAGGAGCCATTATATGATCCAGAAGACAGAGGCAGCTGAAGGAAAGCTGGGCTGAGCTGTGGGTCTACAGGCACACTGCTATTTTCTCTGAACTGGTTTAAGTTAGGTTTGTTGTGGCTTGCAAACTAGAGGATCCCTAATGAATACAGGTCCTTTCTCTGTTTACTTGTCAACAAATTGGGATTCCGTTTATTTTTTACACAGAAATAATTATGGTTGCATGCTTTGGATTTTAGAAGGAATAATTACTGTTGCATACTACTTTGAATTCCCATAGTTTTACAGAAATCATACGTATAATTATCCAGTTATGAGATGGAGAAAGAACTAGAACTGCCCTCCAGAGTGTCCGGTTGAATTCATTATCATTCCTCTGATACCACAGATGAGGGACGCGTTCTCTGACATGTTTACCTGGTCCTCATGGTTGAGACCATTCTGTGAATGACTGACAGGAATCTACATGGAGGTAGTGGTCAGCTCTATCAGGGGAAATCTAGAAGGATCCCTGAGCAAGTGATAATTAAGCGGCTCCTTCTACGATAAAATGCAGACCGCCAACAGGAAGAGGAGAGGAGTGTCGGAGACATCTATCTACTTGTGAACATGCAGAAAGGAGTAGAAAATGCAGCTGGTTTCCTGTGGTTGGGGCCCATAGGCTGGAAAGAGAGGGCCAGCGAGGTAGGAGCGGGGAGAGGGAGGGCTCAGGGCTGGCCGGCCCTGCAACCATGCTACCAGGTTGTAGGGGGACCACAGCAGACTCTGTTTCAGGAAGGATGAAGAGGATGAGACGGTCTGCAGAGCAATCTGCCGTTGAGCTATTGAAATAGAACAGAGGCCAGCTAACCGAGGGCTTGAATCCAGCGGTGGGGTAAGGGCGAGGGCAAGGAAGGGGTGAACCAGAGACTCACTAGGACAGAGAGGCTTGTCAGGGTGGGGCCGGGGAGGAGCGTGGGGCCCTTCTCTGGCTTCTGGCTCAGGTAATTGGGTGGGTGATAGTACCACTGCCAGGACAGGAAGATAAAGGAGCAATAAGTCCGACTTATGTAGAGTGAGGCGCCTGTAAGATACGTAAGTGGAGACGTCTCCTAAGGCTCCTGGGCTGGGGGAGAGATCTGGGTTAGGTCGGCAGAGGCTCTGACACTGACCAACATCCCTTCTGTGTCTTTCTCTTCGTCCAGAGCACAGTTACACTACAGTCTCCAGCCTCCCTGGCAGCTCTGCACAGCCACGTCTGCCCACGGGATGTGAGCAGAACAGATCTGCGCTGCTTGCAGGCGTGGCCCTGGGGAAACTTCCCACATACTCTCTGCATCCACCAGCTGCCTGGGAGCACTTGGAGGATGTGGGGGAGGACAGTGCCACAGGACTGAAGGAGCCGGCTCTCTTAGTGACTCTGGAGGGGGCCACCTCCTCCCCTTACTCCCTCCAACTCATAATGAACACCGAAGTGAGTGAAAAACAAAGTTGGAATGTGCTGAGCCACAGAAACTCAGGGCTGGTGACCGCGGTCCACCGGCCTGGACTGACCCAGCTGCAGAGGGTGACGGAGAGCGGTTTCCACACAAGGGGTGGTGGAGCTGCTCAGGACAAGTGTAGCCCAGGAGCAGAGGGCCCAGGATGGAAGCCCAGGCAGGGCTCGCTGAAGGCTGAGCCAACAGAAGAGACTGGGAAGACCAGCCAGAGGCGAGGGAGGAGGGCCCTGAAAGCCTGGGAGGTCCAGGAGGAAGAGGAGGTGCACGCCATCACGTGCTGGAGAGATGCCAGGCAGACTCGAAACAGGAAAGTGTCCGTGCAGGTCAGTGAGTAGCAGGTTGTGAGGAGCTTCCATGGGCTGGAGCAGAACCTAGTTTTAGAGGCCTGAGCAATGGGTAGGAGGTGAGGGGGAGTCAGTGGAAATCGGCATTTGAAGGAACTCAGCTACGAGACAAAGACATCGAGAAACAACTAGATGGAGGATCAAGGAGAAACATAGGAAGATAGGAGACATTGACACAAGCCTATCAATCACAGAGCTAAAGGCTGACCGTCCCCGAGGAGGCAAGAGGAAATTGGAGTCACACACAGGAGGAGAATCACGGTCTTCTCAGAGAAAGGGCAAGAGAACGAAGGTCGGTGAAAAGATAAGTCAGTCTGCAGGTGTTGGGAAACTTAACATCCCTCCTCCCAACCAAATTTGTCCTCTGTGAACAGGGAAGTGGGGATCTGCCCAGAAAGTTCAGATGGCAAGGACTGCAAGGGAGTTTGAGAAAAGCAATCAAGCTAGAATCACACCCAAGATTTGAGGAAAGCAGTGTTGAAGTCAAAGAATCTTCATTCCAACAGGAAATTCAGACCTTGAAGAATCCTCGCAGTCTCTACAGCAGCCTTTGCCCCCAGATAAGGTAACCTGGAGACCAGGGTCTAGGGCTGGCAGTCCAGGCTGTGCGGAAGGCAGGATGGACCTGGATGAGATGAGAGATCACGGAGTTGCTGATCGAGGTAGTTTGCAGAGAGAGAATGGGGGCCTGAACTCCAGCCATGGTCTAAGGGCAGGCAGGGGTGGAACTTAAAAACATGAAAGCTGTTAGTAAGACTAAGTGGCCAGCTAGATGTGAGGGTTAGGACCTTGGTCTTGGGTGGGCACCTGCGACAGAAAGTGTGGCCTTGGGAGACTCTTCCATCCCAGCAGATGCTGACACCCACACCATTACACAACAAAATCACATTACATAGGAGCAAAAGAGCAGTCTCTAAACCGCCTCTAGTTCTACCCACTCTCTTCTGTTACAGGGACACTGAACCCCAGGGACATAAAGTCACTTATCCATACCACAGAGTTAATGACCAAGCCAGCATTGGAACCACAAGTGATTGTAGGAGAAAGAGAAAAGAGTCCATGAGAGGGGGAAGAAGAGAGGAGGGGCATTCATCCATTCGTTCCTCCACTTCTTCATTCAGCAAGTAAGGACAGCCTTTTAGCCACTGGGGCCCCAAACGTGAATATAAATATGACCTGGCATCTGCCTTGAAGGAACTTCTAGCCAGGGAGGGGACGTCACGTGTGCAGCACACAGTGTGGGATGTGAAGGAGGAAATGGTCACTTCTGCCTGAGCTGCTGGAAGATGAGTACCAGGAAAAGCTTCCAAAAAGAAGCCACTTGGGCCAGGCGCCATGGCTCACGCCTGTAATCCCAGCACTTTGGGAGGCCGAGGTGGGTGGATCACTTGAGGTCAGCAGTTTGAGACAAGCCTGGCAAACATGGTGAAACCCCGTCTCTACTAAAACTATAAAAATTAACCGAGTGTGGTGGTGCATGCCTACAGTCCCAGCCACTAGGGAGGCTGAGGTGGGAGGATCGCTTGAACCTGGGAGACGGAGGTTGCTGTGAGCCGAGATGGTGCCACTGCACTCCAGCCTGGGCGACAAAGTGAGACCCTGTCTCAAAAACAAAAACAAGCCACCTGAACTGAGTGTGGAAAGATGCAGGGGACTCAGTGGAAGAGGCCATCTCAGCAGAGAGAGTGGGGATGCCGGGCCTGGCGGGTGGGCGAGGGGGATTGTGTCTGAGCAGTTTGAGAGGGAAAGTGGCCGTCCATTAAGCAGGTGAGCAGATGAATGCTTCTTGGACGCCATGTTTGGATTGGGTGGGGAATGTAGGAGACAACTCTCAGAGAGCTCCGGGTGTAGCAGGTGGCATGGTTTTGTCCCTGGTGGACCTGGCAGATGCCCATCGGCCAGTGGAGAGGGGAGTGAGCTACCCAAGTCACTCAGCCTAGAAGTGGGGGAGGCAGAGCTTGGAACAGACCTACTGGGCTTCAGGACTAGGGCGGCCCACGCCACCACACAACAGCACTGAGGGCTCTGGATCCGAGACAAGTCAGGCTCATAAATAACGCAAATGAGAAGCGACAGCGCTAACATCTAGGAGGGAGCGTGCTGAGGGAGGAATGATTCACTCCAGCTGGGAAGGGGCATCCTAGGTGGGGTCTTGAGGGCCGCGGGGGCCTTTGACAGACAGAGAGGATTGGGAGTCACAGAGTGGCAAGAGCTCTCTACTGGGGACACTATTAATTATTCTGATGGAATTTCTTCCTTAGGGAGGGAGCGTCCATGGGTTTCAAAGCAATGAGCAGCCGAAATCTACATTTCCTTGAGCTGTGGCTCCGCTGGTGGGCCCAGCCCTCATTCTCTAACCTGCCAGAGTCAGTGATTCTCTCAGAAGGGCATGTGGGTATTGTTTTTCCTCTTTGTTTGGCACTTAAAATTTTTTTTTTCCGAGGCAGAGTCTCACCCAGTCGCCCAGGCTGGAGTGCAGTGGTGCGATCTTGGCTCACTGCAACCTTGACCTTCTGGGCTCAATCAGTGCTGAGTAGCTGGGCATACAGGCATGCACCACCAAGTCTGGCTAATTTTTTGATTTATTTTTTATTTTTTATTTTTGTAGAGACAGGGATCTCTCCATGTTGCCCAGGCTGGTCCCGAACTCCTAAGCTCAAGCGATACTCCTGCTTAAGTGTTGAAATTATAGACATGAGCCACTTTGCCCAGCCCTAGCACTTTGTTGACGCTAAATAAGTGTCTGTTGAATGAATGAATGAATGAATGAATGAATGAATGGAAAAGGGATATGCAAAAATATCTCTATCCTTCCACTATTAGGGAAATCTTTTGTAACTTTGAGATTATAAAACAGAAGATTTGGTTTACCTACAGGGCCCAACATTTAGCTTCTTTCTCTGAGGTTCTTAATTTTTTTGTGTGTCACAAACCCCTTTGGTGTCTGATAAAACCTATAGAACCCCTTAGAATGAAGTTTTAAATGTTAAAAGATGAATGTATGGGATCACAAAGAAAACATTTCTATTAAAATACAGTTATTTGAATATTTTAAGAAATGCATAGATATACTTGTTCATTAACACATTAAATAACAAGATCTGTCAGGTCTCATTAATTACTGTAATTTCAAAGCCATGATGAGCTTAATGACATTTAAAAATCTCTGCAACAACTGTAATAGATCTAAAAATATCTATGATTTTCTTCTGTTGACAAAGTCACAAAACTGCTAACACTAGTATGGCCTGTTGCCTGCTCCATTTATCATCTAAGTGACAACTAAAGATTAGTGCAACAAAGATGCCTTTTATTTTTCCCCATCCAAATTTATGAAGCCGCTGAATTCCATCCCTGGTTATGAACTTCCTCAGCACCCTTACCTGCTATTCTTGCAAAGGCTGTGGTCGCTGAGGAAGAGGCGTACCTGAGACCAGGTCCTCCTGAGCCTGTGAGTGAAACCACTGCGGGAAGGTCAGGTGGGGAAACCCAGTTACTGGAGTTGAGAATAATTTTGGTTCTTTGGTTGCAGAAGGAAATGGTAGAGACAAGTCATTTGCTTTGCCTAAGACCGTGCAGGATTTGTCTCCAGAAAAAAATGACTGGGCTCAGAAGCTCTAATGGGTTGAATAGGCTCCTGGCTTGGTGGCTTTTATCAGGCCTCTGGATTTTCTCCTTTCTCCTCGGCAGACAAGAGCTCAGTGAAACCCTGGGATAAACACCTTAGCAGTCAGTTGAAGCATTTTGTTTGTTTGCCTATTTGTCTTCTGGGCTGTGTATCAAATTAGAGATGAGGAGAAAAGACCAATAAAACCTCGAGTTGATTGAGAGTGTGTGGAAACACACAGGACTTCCGCATTTGGCTTCACATTTCTTCACGGCGGTTTGGCAACGTATACCCCAAACCTTAAATCTGTGCATACACTTCGGTCTAGTAATCCGGCTGCTACAATGTTTTCTTACGAAAATAATTATTTTTCATAAAGATATGTCTACAAAATTTTTATTGGTATTTTAAACAATAATAAAAAAATAGAATATTAAAACACAAACAATCCAAGCAAAAGAAGAAAAAAAGAAGAAACCATTTACAACATATTACAAAAAGTGCAAAACCAAATGCTGCCAAGATTCAAAAGAGTATTACAGTACAACAGCAATTTGGAAAGCTAAAACAAATATACATAAAAAATGCTAGAAGCACTTACACGAAATGTTAACAGTGGTCATCTTTGCCTGGTGGGACTCCTGATGAGTATTATTTCCTCCATGTGCTCTTCTAGGTTTTCTAAAGTTCTTGCAGTGCGCATGTATTATGTAGCTCAGCTAAATGTGTTTATTTTTGAGAATATGAATGCTAAGTTCGTGTCTGAAAGAAGGACCAGTGCATTTGCTCCAAAAAATCATTTCTCCACAAAATTAGAGCTCAATTCAAATCTATCATCTGTCTCCTAACAGTGTGAATTCAATAAGACAACCTGGTTTTGGCGGGGGGTGGTGGGGTTGTTTGTTTTTGAGACAGACTCTCCCTCTGTCACCCGGGCTGGAGTGCAGTGGCAGGATCCTTGATCCTCAATGAGATAACTTGGAAAGGTCTGGATGGGAGTTGACCTGGTGGCTCCCGTCTTGAGGCTCCTCCTGCCACTAAATAAGAGCAGCAAGATGTGAAGCAGGTCCTGCCCAGCTCTCCCATTTACTGTTGTTATAAGCAAGCAAGCCTTCTGGGCTGCCATCTGCACTGTGACGTGGACATGAGAGTGGTGAGTGTCTCCTGGGGCTTAAGGACTACTGGGCTCATTGGACCCCTCCACACTCCAGAGCTCTCACTTCCTCCTTCTCACCTGGAGGAGGCAGGCATGGCAGCAGGAGGACCCAGGTGACTCCGGCAGGGAACACAGGCTCATCTCGCTAAAACTGTAGCCTTCTGGAATTCGCTAACTTTACATGTTTGAAATTCCTGATGCTCTGCTTCGGCCTTACAAACCTTTCCTTTCAGAGGCTGATCACATCTCAGTTGTAAATAATATTTAGGGTACCTTTGTGCCTTCACTATACAAATCTCCAGCTGTCGTTTTCATCAGACAGAGCAAATCATTTGTGGCTCCCTCCAGGACCACTGGGCCCCTCTCTGCTCCACCATCAACAGGCAGATTCCAACCATTCTTCCCAGTGTGGCCGAGGGAGGCCCTTCAGGTGAGGATGAAGGAGGGACTGATCCTGGGCTCCGCGGAGGCCCCGCTCGGGTGATGCTGGAGGCAGAAGGGAGCTGGGTTTTGATGAGGGAGGAGTTGGTCAGGAGGGGTTGTCACAGGCGCAGCAACGAGTAGCCCATGCAGGGCAGGCGGAGAGCCCTGCAGAAATGAGCTGGCCCGATTGTGTGCGGCGCTGATCGGTAGGGTTTTACGCCTGTGCTAGTCAGGGTTCTCCAGTGAAACAGAACCAATGGGATACATATACATACACATACACATACACATACACATACACATACACATACATAAGAGGGGAAAATAAGAGGGGATATATTACAGGAGTGTGGCTTATGTGATTATAGAGGCTGAGAAATCCCACGATCTGCTGTCTGCAAGCTGGAGGACCCCAGAAGCTGGTGGTGTAATTCAGCACGAGTCTGAAGGCTTGAAAACCCGGCGCTCCGACATCCAAAGTCAGGAGAAGATGGATACATCAGCTCAAGCAGAGAGAGCGAACTCTTCCTTCCTCTGTCTTGGTTCTACTCTGGCCCTCAGTGGACTGGGTGAGGCCCACTGACACTGGGGAGGGCCACCTGCTTTACTCAGCTCACCAATTCAAATGCTGATCATTTCCAGAAACCCTCACAGACACTCCCGGAAATCATGCTTTACCATCCATCTGGACATCCCTTAGCCCAGTCAAGTTGACCCGTCAAATTAAGGATCACAACGCCTCTCATTCTTTCCTTCACTCCACCTATGCATCTGTATGTGATGAGATCTCTGTGAAACTACTCTGTATACTGTATAGCTCTAGATACCATAACATAGTTCCCACTGCCTGGGAGCAGAGAAAGGCAAGTAAACAATGATCATCTAGAGAAAGTCCTGGGTGAGTGTGAGTTTAAGGGGCAGCCCGCTGGAGCTAAAGAGGAAGTGACTAGCTCTGCTGGAGATGAGGGGAGGGAGGGAATACCAAGGGGAAGGAAGGAAGAGAGGTGTAAAAGCAGAGCCACGTGAATCGGGACAGCCTGTCAGGGAACTGGGTCTTGCAGCCAAAGCCGAGGCTGCTCACCATAGAAGAGGCTGGCAACATGGCAGGCGGCAGGCTCCGGGGCCACCAAGAGAGCTGAGGCAGGCAGGTGAGCCTGCGCCCAGACTCCCCTTTAGGAATCCCATGTTGATGTTCGTGAGGCAGTGTGGGTTAGAGGCCAGAGCCTGGGCAGGGGCCACAGCTGATACTGCAGCACAGAGGCCACTTGGACAGCTGTAGCCATGTGCACTGGCAGGAGGGAGCGGGTCTGAGAAATATTTAGGAATGAAAGGGTGGATGGAATATGATGGGTTGGGAAAGGAAGGGAGAGCCAAAAACGACTGGTACTGTGCGGGCAACCTGCGTGCTCCGGGTCACGAAGCTGAGTTCAGTTTTGAGGTGGTTATGGGACAGCCCTGCGGGGAAACCAGCAGTTGGTCGTTGGGATTTAGAGCTGGAGATAGGGAGGAGCCTGGGCTGCTGCTGAGCTTCACGGATAACACTGTCCTGGGGAAGGGGTCCTGCCGCATCCCAGTGCACTGCCTATAACTGTGGGCAGTTCTTTTCCTCTCTCTGTGCCCTGGCTTCCTCCTCTGTAGTGTGGAATGCATTAGGTTGGTGAGGATTGAATGAGCCACGCTCAGTGCGTGTTAGCTATTGTTATGACCGTTTGGGACTCTACAGGTCGTAAGTGGTGGCTGAAACCTTAGGTGGATGCGACAGCCCCGGAAGAGAATTGTGAGTGAGCGGGGAGAGGCCCCAGGACAGCGATGAGCCTCGGCGGGGAAGAAAGTTTTCTCACTCTGATTTTGAGTGTGATGCAGAGGGGCTGTGGTTTAAAATCTCTTTAAAATAAATTCTCACCAGACCTATAGCTAAGCATATAAAAAACTGAGTTTTACAAGCAATCTGAATTAAACATTTACTCATGATGTTTCTGAATGAATAAAGCGATACAGTAAACACTGTTCAGGACACTTGGAAGCACCTGGGGACCCTGCTGAGACCACGCCTCGCTGGTAAGGAGCTGCGTGACATTGGGGAGTCACTGTGCGCTCGAGCCTGAGTGTATTCACTGTAAAATGAGTCGGTTGGATTAGAATCATTGCTTGGGTTCCTTTCAGCTCTGGGTCTAGCTTTTTTTTTCTTCTTCTTCGAGATGGAGTCCTGCTCTGTTGCCCAGGCTGGAATGCAATGGCACGGTCTCGGCTCACTGCAACCTCCACCTACCAGACTCAAGCGATTCTCTTGTCTCAGCCTCCAGAGTAGCTGGGATTACAGATGCCTGCCACCATGCCGGCCTAATTTTTGTATTTTTTAGTAGAGACAGGGTATCACTATGTTGGCCAGGCTGGTCTCGAACTCCTGACCTCAGGCGATCAGCCTGCCTCGGCTTCCCAAAGTGCTGGGATTACAGGCGTGAGCCACCGCTCCTGGCAGGATCTAGCTTTAAGGGCAACCAAATGTGAACCTGGTTTTAGTTACCCGATATACTTGGAAGTTAAATGCCAGGTCTTCTTTAAAAGCATGGATATAGAGGGCAGGCGGGAGGGGACAGTGGAGTGGGCGGCGCTCAAGTCTAGGAGTCTAGGGCAACACTGACTCTGACCCTGGCTGGTTCCCAGTGTTACCAGAAGGGAGGGTCGGTGGGTCACTCGGTCGGCAGCCCAACCTGGGACCCGGCGTGAGGGCCCCTGTGCTGGAGGCACGCACACTCCCATGACCACTGCAAACACAGTCGCTACCCTTGTGTTTCCAGTCAGTTGAGGAAGCGAGATAGTGAACAAGTCCCAGAAATGAATGAAAAAATTCTAAGGCCATAGGCGAGTCACTGAATTTCTCTGGGCTTCAGTTTCCTTCCGTGTAAGATGGGATATAAATGTTTAATTCAAGGGCTATTATGAGAGTAAATGTGCTAATATAGTTTATTTATTAGTATTTGACGGGACTTGTGGAGATACATTCAGTACCAGGAGAGTTAATAAATGAGGACAGAGTGGTCAGTTATCAGAAGATGAAGGCAGGGTGAATGCATCTTCAAACTGCACAATGATGGCCCCCAAGAGTTGCAGCAGTGGGCTGCAAATTCAGCTCCTGTTTCCAAGCTATGAAAGAAAGAAGGAAAGATGATCAGGCTGATGCTATCGCTTCTGGCTTAGAGTGTTTCAACGGCTTCCTGTGGCTCTTAGATAAAATCCCAGCCCCTTATTCTGTCTCACACACTCCTCTCCTGTTGCCAGTTCTTCGGTTCCACAGCATGGAGAAACCAAATTTCTCCATTTCTGGGGCCAGCTGTGTGCGTGCTGTCTCATTCTTCATTCCCAGCTCTGCTCACCAACCCTTTCCTCTGTGACTCTTCTCCGCCCTGGGTCAGTCGCCGGCTCCACTCCGGAGGCTTCCTCGTGTGCTCCCCTTGCCTGCCTGTAAATGTGGGCCTGTCTTCTCTATAGTCACCACTCTGTCCCTCTCAGGGTGCTTGACACAGAGTAGGCGTTTGGGAAATGTCGGTAGAATGAGTGGATCTGCTGAAAGTACACAGTTTTCCCCATCCTGAGATCTGCATGTCAGGATCCCCCCGGATCTTCAGAAAGACGGAGCCACGTGACGTGGTGGACACACCGCCTGGCGCAGGGCCTGTCTGCTCGGATTGCAAAAATGGTGATCTAAGAGGAACGAAGGAGGCTGGTGGAGAAACAATTTGAGATGATGAGCCCTGAAGTGGAAGTTTACTGAAAGCAGGGAGGGAAAGGAGAAGGGGGAAACAGTGAGTTTTAAGGTAGTTTACACAAAACGTGCAAAGGGCGTATTAGGAAGCCTGCTGTCTATGACCACTGCCTGTAAGGTACATCTGTAAAAGTTAATGAGGTTTTTGGAAGTAAACAAAAGGTCAGCCCAAGCAAAGAGAAAGCTGAGGACAGTACAAACCCGTAGAGTGAGGGGACACATTTTAAGACAAAGATCACAAAGGTGAAGGGCCAGTGACTAGTCATGAATTATCCACAGTGTAGACAGATAACAGGAAATCAGAAGTTCACATGGTAAAAACTTTTCAGACATGTTGAGCTGGGAAAATGGTATATATGGTAAACCTCAAGGTAAAATATCGCCAGAGCCTTGAAAAGTCATAGCAACCACTCCACACAGCATTTCACAACTAGACAGTGCTCCAAAGATCTTCGTCTCCTCTCTCTCTCTCTCTCTCTCTCTCTCTCTCTCTCTGTCTCTGTCTCTCTCTCTCACTGTTACTCTGCCACATTGGAGAGAGCTGCTTCAAGACAGTAGAGCATGTCCTTTTCAGGCATCTTCTATAGTAATGATTCCAGAATTTTCACACCATACTCACTTGCTGAATTAAATTGGATTCAAAGGATTGGAGATGTGTAGTTTTCACATGTAGGCAAGACATGCTATTTAATGATACAGGTCATGATTTCAGGTAGTTTAAAAAGAATTATTGGCCAGGCGTAGTGGCTCACACCTGTAATCCCAGCACTTTGGGAGGCTGAGGAGGGTGGGTCACTTGAGGCCAGGAGTTTGAGACCAGCCTGGCCAACATGGTGAAGCCCTGTCTCTACTAAAAATACAAAAATTAGCTGGGTGTGGTGGTGCTTGCCTGTAATCCCAGCTACTCTGAAGGTGGAGGCAGGAGAATTGCTTGAACCCTGGAGGCAGAGGTTGCAGTGATCCGTGATCATGCCACTACACTCCAGCCTGGGCAACAGAGTGAGACTCCGTCTCCAAACAAACAAACAAACAAACAAAACAAAAAATTACCCACTCACACAAAAATTACCACTTGTAAAAATGTTTTTTTGCCAATTAAAAAATGATCCAGAGCCTACGTGAAAAAAAAAAAAAACCTTAGGACTTCAAGACAATACTGTTTTCCATGTGAGCCATCACAGTGAGATGACTTCGAGGAAGATCCTCAGGCCCCATGGACTGCGTTCATAAAAGTGTATGATGGTGACTTCCTCCATTGGAGTATTGTTCTGTTGTGGGCCGTGTCTTCTATAGGACATGGATAAACTCAGAATGCTTTCAGGGAAGGCGATCAGGAAGGAGAAGACCCTCAAAGTTATGAGATGTGGGAAAAAATGGAAGCAAGATTCCATTCATGCCACCATCCACCTTCCCACCCAAACCAGAACCTTGCTACTAATTGTAGACTCTTGTACTTTACTCAGTTCCTCCGGGATCCAGGCACCACTCTCCATTCCCCAGTGTTCTCAGCTGAGTTCTGGTGCCTGCTGTGTCTCCCGCAGCTTCCTCTGGGCTGGCTCACCTCCACCCATCTTCCATACAGCTCTCAGAGGGAGCTTTCTAAGATGCACCTCTGTGTGTGTCCCCTCTGTTAAAATCCTTAATAAATACTCATGCATTCCCCATCTGATCCAAGCCTTTCATGATCTGACCCACACTTACTGTGACAGCCTCCTCCTAGGTCCCCAGTCACAGGCACCTTGGGTTCTGGTCAGGTCATATGCCCAGCAGGTTCCTCACCAGGCTAAGTGCCTTCTCCTTTCCCTGCTTCTGCACCTGCAGGGCGTGCTAGGACAGAAATTCAGCTTCAAGACTGCAAGGAGAGAAACTCACATTCAAAAAGAGAAACGATCAACAAGCATACAGTAGTATACGCCCAATAGAAGGTAACCCTCAGTGAAAAACGTGGCCCAGTAAAATTTCTGTCCCAACGCAATTTTTCCTAAGTTGAATATGTATGCTTACTGGGATAGGGAGGAGACGGCAGAACAGTTCTAACTGTACAGCCCCTCAGTCTCCTGAATTCAGAGGCAAGAGACAGTTTTTGTCACTAGTGGAAGATCCCCAGGGAAGACTCTGAGAACCTGTGGCCAGGGAATAGGCGCATACTCTGATTTGCTACCCTGTACCAGAGACGGTCCGCACTGTTCTGAGATCCTACTAGGACCACGTGGAGGGAGGGAAGCAGGGAAGGCGGCTCTTCAAACGAAGGGATGCTTGGAGACAGAACACTGGACTTCTTTCTTGCAAGCCTTCCCTAACCTCCCCTGGCCTTCCCCAGAAGTCAAGCGCTTCCTCCTGGGTGCTTCTGGAAGTTCTCATTAATACCTCTCTTCCAGGATGAGTTACGGCACCACTGTGGTTTTTCTGATGATGTGCCTTCTCATCCATCCAATACAAGTTCTCAGTAGGCAGCGATTTTGTCTGTCTGCCCTCCATATCCACCCTCTACCCTCTACCCGCTGCTCTCCCATGTGGATGGCAGCCTGGGGTCCTGTGCCCTCTGGCTTCTGGGGGCATTTGGCCAATGCGGCTCATCATCAGTGGGAGATGAGAGCTGCTCTCCGTCTCTCTGGCAGCTTCCCTACAGGGTTCCTGTGAGCTGGTGGCCTCCTGACTAAAGGTGACAGCCTCTCTCTCAGGAAGTCCCCCCGACGTAGCTTCAGGTTCTGGAAGCAGCTCCCTTCCCTCAGCCCTGCCCGCCTTGTTCTGCTGTTCATGGCTCTGAAAGTCTGCACTATCTCTTTAGGGTTCCCTATACTCTGCCCACACTGAATAAATAGCTCCTTTATTAAACTCTCCTCCGACGACCCAATCGGGGTGTGCCCTCCACCGCCCTGGGTCCTGCCTGGACTATGACACACAGTGTCCTGTTCATCTTCATTGCCCCAGGATCCAGCTCTGTGCCTTCCACACCACAGGCACTGAATAAGCTCATGGATTATGGAATGATTAAACATAGGAGAGTATTGAGACCTCTATAGAAAATGGATCAGAGGAGTAGCCTTCAACATTTTTTTGACCAGGTCTTATAGTAAGAAACATTTCATAATGCAACGCAGTAAACACATCACAATTATATATAACTGAACAAGAAATTTCATGAAGCAATGCTTACCTTTGTATGTGCAATGCTCTGTGATCTTTTCTATTTCATTCTGCTCTGTTTTAATTTTCAAATGAAATTCTCATTATGGTCCACTGCATTGACTTCATGGCCCGCGAAACGATAGCAACCCACAGGTTAGGAAGCATGAGACTACTGATGTTTAGCTTTCCCTCTGGGTTGGAGAATCTGTGATTCCTGAAGTAGAATTCGAAGGCGCAATGAATGAGGATGCAGTCATGTCGCAGTGACGATGCATTTAGTGAGAGTTAACTTTACTGCCTTGAAAAAGCAAAGGAGGCCAGGCAAGGGGGCTCATGCCTGTAGAGTCAGCACTTTGAGAGGCCAAGGTGGGTGGATCACCTGAGGTCAGGAGTTCAAGACCAGCCTGGCCAACATGGCAAAACCCCATCATTGCCAAAAATACAAAAAATTAGCCAAGTGTGGTGGCACGCACCTGTAGTCCCAGCTATTCAGGAGGCTGAGGCAGGAAAATCACTTGAACTTGGGAGGCAGAGGTTGCAGTGAACCAAAATTGTGCCACTGCACTCCAGACTGGGCAACAGAGTAAGACTCCATTTAAAAAAAAAAAAAGGCAAAGGAACTCACCATTCTATCTTCAGTTTTTCATAGAACTCTTACTCAAAGTTGACTTTGTTTTAGGTAAACCTAATTTGGGAGTGGGGAGGTGGGGAGGTTGGAGTTCTTTTATTTTAGATAGGATCTCACTTTGTCACCCAGGCTAGAGTGCAGTGGTAAGATCTCAGCTCACCACAACCTCCACCTCCCAGGTTCAAGCGATTCTCCTGCCTCAGTCTCCCTAGTAGCTGGGATTACATGTCTGCCACCATGCCCGGCTAATTTTTGCATTTTTAGTAAAGACCGAGTTTCACCACGTTGACCAGGCTGGTCTCGAACTCCTGGTCTCAAGTAATCCACGTGCCTCGACTTCCCAAAGTGCTGGGATTACAGGCATGAGCCACCACACCTGGCCCTGGAGTTCGTAATGCATGCCGATGTCCATGAGCAATTTTAAGCATCAGGTTCATAAGCATTAGTGTCTAGGAACCACAGGCCCTGAGAGCCAGACATGCCCGTGAGGGTTCAGGGTGAGCCTGAAGTGGAGGCTAATCAGGTGAGCTTGCCTCAGGCTTCTGGAGCGTTTCCCTGTGTCCTTGCTGGCACCAGCAGCTTCTCTTTAGCAAACACATTTCTTAGTGTCCTAGTTATGGGCAGGGCTAGACCGAATGCACAGCACAGGCCTGTCCACATCGCCAGGGCTCTGCAATCCACTTGCAGCTGGATGTTCTCTCAGTGCTTCAAACTCATTCGAAGTCTGTGATCTTGCCCACCTCAAAAATCGTATGATTCTATTTTAAAAACTGAGTTACATATGTTCTCTAAAATGGAATCTCCCCTCTTAATTCACTCCCTGTCATTCTCCTGGTATCTAAACCGTAAGGCCAAGTTAAAAGGGTAGAAGATGATCATAGATATTATGTAGCTGTGATTCTGAGTCAAATTCCCAAACCCTGTCATCACCTCCCTGCAAGGTTCTTGAGAGAGAAAAATGCAAAAAAGGTAAGCCTCAGTAGGTGGACTTGTGACCAGGTGGGGGCATTGGGCTCAAATTTCGAAGGGGAGCCCTGGCAAGCTGGACAGACACCCCCATTTCCTTGTTTCCTCATCATCCTTCAAATTCATACGAGCACCTACAATCTTTCAAGCATGGGGAGAGAACAGTGAACAAAACAGAGCCCCTGTCCTCCTGAAGCTTATATTCTAGTTGAGGAAACAGAAAAGAAATAAATAGAGATACATATACCAGCATAGAAGATGGTGGTTAGTGCTGTGCAGAAATCTGCTATGGTACGTGGTGGGCAGAATGTGCGTGTGTGTGTGTGTGCACATGCACGTATGTGCTTTATTATAGTTAGTGGTGTCAGTGAGGGCTTTTTGAGGAGTGACATTTGAAGAAAGAGCTGAGTGAATTTGAGTCATGGAAATACTGAGGGGAAAAGCATCAGGTGAAAGGAAGAGCATGGGCAAAGGCCCTTTGGCCTCATGCTGGGGGGTGGAGGCAGGCCTCGGGCCTTATCATAGTGGTCTGGGCAGCGTCCTTTGTGCTTCTCCCCCTCAACCCATGCCAAACCCTGGCCACTTTGGACACATACTCAACAATTTTTAAAATTATTATTTTTAATTGTGGTGAAATACGCATCAATTTAACATCTTAGTCATGTGTAAGTGTACAATTTGGCGGCATTAAATATATTTATTATTGTGCAACCACCATCATCACCCATTTCCAGAATGTTCTTATAATCCCAAACCGGAACTCTGTACCCATGAAACAGCAGCTCCCCATTCCTTCCTCCCCTGAGCTGCTGGCAGCCACTGTTTCCTTTCTGTCTCTGTCAATGGGACTGCTCCGGGTACCTCACACAGGTGGAATCACATAGTGTCTGTCTTTTTGTGAGTGGCTTATTTTAAGCGTAATGTTCTCCAGGTTCATCCATGTGGGGCATGTGTCAGAATGTCCTTCCTTTTCAATGATGAATAGTGGTCCATGGTGTGGATGGGCCTCGTTTGGTTTACCCATTCATTCTCTACGGTCAGTGGACACCCGGGTTGCTTCTGCCCCTTGGCTAGAGTGGATAATGCCGCTGTGAACATGGCTGTACAAGAATCTCTCCAAGTCCCTCTTTCAGTTCTTTTGGGGACATTCCTAGAAGTAGACAGTTTTAGCTCCCTTTTCCTTGAGCTGATCCACTGTGCTTTGCACGCTGCCCCTTGTTAGTTATGTCACTGTTAGGGGGACCGTGTTGATCGGGTCACCTGTTTCCCTCCTCTCGACTGTAAGTTCCTGGGGAACAGGGAGTGGTGCTTGGCACTGCACCCCCGATGCCACGGATAGCGCACAGTCTGTGTCCCAGTAGGATTTATTCAGTGAGCATGTCTGGAAAGGGTGAAGGCTGGGCTGCACAGAGCCTGCCCCTCCTTTGTGTTTTTACATTGGGCTTCTCTGATTTTGTTGGAAAGGAGACTCTGTCCCTAAAATAAAAATGGGGATAATCCATTTTCCTGTGAGAGAAATGAAAGATTTAGTCTCTTCCATGGAGATTAAATGTCCTGCCCGCTGTCCAGGTGCAGTGAGGGGCGTGGCCGGGACCAGAATCCCTGCTTCCCTGTTCTCTAGTCAGTGCTGCTGCTGGAAAAGAGTCTTCTTTTGTTTTCCCTCTCACCTCTGGCTGCCTCTCCCTCCCCTCAAAGGTCAGAGCAGTGCCAAGGACAGAAGAGAGAGTAGACCCAGCCTAGGCCCTGCTAGGCCGGGCAGCCTGGCAGGTAGAGTCGGCGGGGGTAGAGCTTGCTTTGCTGTTCACAAGCTTCAACCAAGTTCAGGGAGGTCTGAGTACTGAGGCCTTCAGAGCCGCTGCAGCCCCAGGTAGCTCAGGAGAACTGCCAAGCCCAGGAGTGCAAAGGCTGGTGTTCTTCAGGCTCTGAGGCTGTCCCTCCTGGTGGAGGTGAACTGCTTCTTACTGGTGTGGACAAGACTGTGGGTATGTGTGTGAGTGTGAATGTGAGTGTGTGGAAGTGATACAGAGAGGCCTAAAGGGTGTGTGTGTGTGTCAGGGGGAGGGGTGGGTGTGTGTATGAGAGAGGCAGAGGCAGCAGGAGAGAAAGAGAGTGCAATGCAGAGAAGCAGGCAGAACCTTCCTCATAGAGTTTTGGGGGTGACATGATCTGAAAAGCACTTGGAACAGTACCTTGCTCACAGCAATGGCTGTGTTGATGGTTTTTATTGTTATAGAGGCACAGACACAAAGAAAGGCAGAGAGGGAGAGGGGAGAGTGAGGAAGGGAGGTGGGAGGCTGCAGGAGGGAGGAAGAACTACATTCTGGAAACCTCAGAGATTTAACAAACGGGTGGAATCTGGGAAGAGCTCCCCTGCCTGCTTGTTCTCTTATAAAGCTGATTATGCTTACCTTCCTCCCCCATGGCATTTTAAACTTAAATAACACAGCCTCCATTGTGTAAAGCAAAATAATTTTCTGGATTCCCTGCTGTACCTCAGTGCACCATGCTTAGGGAATCTGCCCGGCAACGCGACGGACTGTGGGAGTCTGCCGCGGAGGCTGCGTCCCCTGCTTGCTGGTTGGGGTGCTCCTATGCCCAGCCTTCCAGGCCTGGCCTCCCCCAGCCCCCCAGCCAGCCCCCAGCACAAATCATTCGGGCTTTATCTTATCTTTAGCAGGAACACTGCTTCCCATATGTGGAGGATTAATGGTGAATCTTACTGCCTGGACAGAGATGGGTCCTGGGTGACTCCAGGCCCTAAGAACCTTTCCCCAGTGTGGACTAGTGCGGAGCTCCAGCACCCACCTGAGAGTTGAAGGAGACCCCCTCCCTGCTTTGTGATGGCTCCAAAGAAACAAGATGTGTGCCCCGCTTTCACCCCACATTGTCTACTTTGATTTACAGCACAGACATCACAGGGGGACCTTTTTGGTTAACATTTACAGAAGTGCTTTCTGTCTGGTTTCTAGATGGAGGCTGACAGGAGCCTGGCTGGGGAGCCCTCTGGCAGGGCTGGCGGCTGGGCTGGCAGGATCTGGCGCTCCCCGTCCCCAGAACCGACTTTGTCCCTCGCAGCCATGGTGGCTGCACTAACCACACTCTTCCTCCACCTTTGCACTAAGAAAAGCAAATAAGCAGACCAAGAACTGTTTGCATTTGCCCCAGAGGCTCCCTGGCTGCGGGAAGAGGTCAGTAGGGAGCGTGCAGGGAGAGGGGAAAGGAGGCTGGTTCTGCAGGGAGGGCACGCTGGCTGCCTACTCCTGGGGAGGGACAGAGGAAAGGCTCGTCCAGCCCAGCACAGGCCTGCGGAGGGACCCTGTGGGCGCAGTGCATGGAGACTGAAGAGGTGATGGTGCTAGATACCCCTATCCCTGGCATATTCTGCATTTCAAAACAGAGAATAAGTAGTCGTGTTAGCTATAAAGTGGCAGGAGCTGTTCCTTAGCAAGAGACAGAGACAGAGAGGAACGGACACACAGAGAGACAGAGATGGAGGCAGAAAAATACACAGAGAAATGGAGAGACAGAGAGAGAGACGTACAGATAGACAAAGGCGTAAAGAGGCCCCCCCCCGCCCCCCCGCACCCTAGGGATATGTTGTCAAGGGTGGCTTTTTTGTTATGAAGATTTGCAGCCTATTTTGCACGGCTGGCCGGCCTTGGCCTCCCGCCGCCATCATTGCTGCCCCAGGGAAGGCTGCTCGCTGGCTTCCTCCCACTCCCTTGCCACTGGCAGCAAAACCATGCTGGGTTATGACATCAGCGACTTTTCCCCTTCTCAGCCCC